TAATATATATATATATATATATAGATAGATAATGAGACGTCAAATACGTTTTCAGATCGACAACTGAAACTAGCCAATATCGGAGAGAATATTAAGATACCTCATCAGACGTGTTTGGACGGTATTCTCATGCTGGGGACCAACACAGTGTTCAATGTGTTCTTCTTGTGGTACATGGACAACGTGAATCCAGGGGACTTTGGCGTGTCAAAACCGTACAACTTCTGTTTTACAGTACGTACAATAAAAAATGCGCTAGAGAAGATAAAAAAGAAAATGTTTTTTCAGTTTGAGGACAGGAAGGAACTTTAAGGATTTTAATTTGTTTGTTTGTTTTTGTTTACAATAGTAGACCTATGCTTTGAATTGTGGAGCGATCACAGGCATAATATGCTTTGAATTATAACAGCGATCATATAGATATAATACCTCTTCTTCTTCTTATTATTATTATTATATGATTTGAATTATATCAGCGATTATAGACATCTGCTTTGAATTATAGTAGCGATTGTAATAGACCAAGTTAACTATGATTTTTCACACGACCTTAATATTTACTTCATGACACAATGGCGTAGTGATTTAATGAGAGCAATGTAAAAACCCAAGAAAAGTGGGAACTAGTTTTTACTACGAAAATATAATACAGGTTTTAAGTAGAGCAAAAGTGTTTACGATTTTATTTTGAAGGGGTGACAGACAGATTGTTTTTTTTCTCGAATGGATTATTGAATTACTATCAGATGGAATCTCATGGACTGTGTGTGTATATAGACTTTGCATTCTATGATTGTTACAAGGATATCCTCATATCAAGGATTTTTTTAAACGTATCTATTATATGTAATGAAGTACTGTATAAATTATTCATTTGATGTTATCACTTCTTACGTGAGAGAGGAACATATATTTATAGGGGTGAACGGTGGAATGAATGAATGATTCAATTGGTAGAGCTACAAGCCATCCATTACAGTGAGCTCAAGTGTTAGTAGTGAGCTCAAGTGTTAGTTCACAAAGTTACCACCAAGCATTGTCACATTGGTATCTGAAGCATTGTTACAGCGACCATAGACATATGCTTTGAACTATGGCAGCGATCATAGACATATGCTTTGAATTATAGAAGGGATCATAGACATATGCTTAGAAATATAGAAGTGATCATAGACATATGCTTTGAATTATAGAAGGGATCATAGACATATGCTTTAAATAATAGAAGCGATTATAGACATATGCTTTGAATTATAGAAGCGATCATAGACATATGCTTAGAAATATAGAAGTGATCATAGACATATGCTTTGAATTATAGAAGTGATCATAGACATATGCTTTGAATTATAGAAGGGATCATAGACATATGCTTTGAATTATGGCAGCGATCATAGACATATGCTTTGAATTATAGAAGGGATCATAGACATATGCTTTGAATTATGGCAGCGATCATAGACATATGCTTTGAATTATGGCAGCGATCAGGAGATGGCATAAATATTATTGATTAAAAAAATATTTAAAAAACGCGTACACAGTATACAGCAGTGTGTTATGAATGTTTGTTTATTTTGTCGCTGCCTCTTAAAGACACGTCTGATCTTAGGTCAGCTTTTCATATCGAGATGACTTCTCTTAGGTCAGCTTTTCATATCGAGATGACTTCTCTTAGGTCAGCTTTTCATAGACAGTTAACGTACCTTCGATCCGCTTATCATAGCTAGCTGACAAATCTTAGGTCTGCCTATCGCAGGTAACCCGACTCATCTTACATCTGCTTATCAGAGAGAGCTGATTTATGATACATCTGCTTATCAGAGAGAGAGCTGATTTATGATACATCTGCTTATCAGAGAGAGCTGATTTATGATACATCTGCTTATCAGAGAGAGCTGATTTATGATACATCTGCTTATCAGAGAGAGCTGATTTATGATACATCTGCTTATCAGAGAGAGCTGATTTATGATACATCTGCTTATCAGAGAGAGATGAATTATCCCGCTTCCGCTAATAATAGAGAGCTGGCTCATCTTAAGTCCACTTATCATTAGTGACTCACAAACGTCCATGCTCTAAGTAAGATGACAAAGACATCTCTTCTCTTATATTATGTTACGGCAGCTCGAACCTCTCATTCATTGGACTTCGCTTGTTCTGATTCTGTAGTTCTTGTGCTGAAGATTGAGGGTTGGATAGGACAGCTCGGGGTACAGAGACATTCCGGGGTATTTCTGGCTTAAATTTTCTTTTGTGTTCTGCGGCCGCTGATCTATTGGCTTCGTGTTCTTCAAAATAACCTCAGTCCGACACACACAACACAAACAAAAACAAAAACAACAACCTGTCATTAAATAGTTTTTATAACAAAAACAATAACTTTCTAACTGTGCACAGAAAGGATACTGGTTTCCGGTTCCAGAGTCGGTTGATAATATTACTGACCTCCCAAAGCAAGACGACACCTTGTTTGAGCAGCCTCCATCGTACCTGAAGCCCGGGGTCATGGTCCGTGGTTTGGTGAAGGTTGGTGCGGCTCATGCCCTCATCGTTTATTATTTTTTTTAAGGCTAGATAAACATTTTCCTTTGGTTTAGGAGATCCTAGGCGAGCATCTAGATTTTCCACACGAGCTAACACCCTCCCCCCCCCCCCCCCGAGTGATGGTGTAGAGTAAATTCTACTCTCTAACCCCTTTAGAGCGATGGTGTAGATATAATACTAAGCAGATCTTTTTAGCTGTGAGTACATCTCAGAGCTCTTCTCGACTAAGAAGCTAGTTTGAAAGAAACGCAAATGCATTGGTGGGCGATTTCACACAATTTACAACCTATAGCCGGTGAAGAAAGAAAATTGAATTTTTCAAGTTTCTTTTTTTTCCCATCTGTTCGAAGTATGTTCTTATGTCCATAAATATCATACACATATATTTAATGACGTAGTTTTTACCCCCCACCTTCCAAAAAAAAATCCATGGAACTTATCATACATTTCATTATTTAAAAATATTGCGACTCCTATTGAGACCAGCTTGCTTTCATCGATGCCAGGTGTTTGGAAGCCACATGGCGGTAGCTGGGGTCAGCATGGACTTGTATCAGGACCAGGTCTCGGTGTTGTTGGGGCACAACGGTGCGGGAAAGACGACCACAATCAGTATGATTACAGGTGCATCCTTTGGTTGGCTCTAAAGTTAAATCTAGATTTAATAGCTTTAAAAAAATTTTTTTTTTTTTTTTTTTTTTTTTGAAAATGGCACAGAGTTATTTTTTACGTGAGAGAGAAACTTTCCCCATGCTCCAATCAAACACCTTTGAAATCCTGGGAGGTCAAATCTTAATTTTAAAAAAATTTTTTTTTTTTTTTTTTTTTTTTTTGAAAATGGCACAGAGTTATTCTTGACGTGAGAGAGAAACTTTCCCCATGCTCCAATCAAACACCTTTGAAATCCTGGGAGGTCAAATCTTAATGTAGGCAACACTTCAAATGTAATAATTTTATTTCTTCTAAATCTTAACAATTTTTTTTTTTATTTAAGTTAAGATAGGTTGTAGTTGTATTGTAAGTAAAGCAGGAGATTCTTCTTGCTCTGCGGCAATTTCCTTTCATACTACCATTTGTGACCAAGTGAAACTGAAGAAAATTTATTTTTCAAAATAGATTATCCCATTATTCATCTGTGCTTGCAAATTATTTTTTTGCAGGGTTTCTTAAGCCCACCGGTGGTTCTGTCATTGTGAATGGTTATGACATCGCCAAAAATTTGGCCCAGGCAAGGACCGGTCTCGGTCTGTGTCCGCAGCATGATATTTTGTTCAACAAGCTTACATGTAAAGAACACCTCGTGTTTTTTCTGAGGGTAAATTGCTATAACGCTATTATATAAAGATGTACAGACAAAAGACTATTGCGTTTAAATGATTATTATAATGAATTTTTTTTAACGCAATAAATCCTGAAATTTTTTATTAAGAATGTTAAAAAATACTGAATAGTTTATTTGAAAAGTAATATATATATATATATATAAATACATGGGCTAAAAGTAGTATATTTGACTTAAAATACTGAGGCTGAAAAGTAGTAAATTTAATGAAAAATACTCAGGCCAAAAAGTGGTATATTTAACTAAAAAATAATGAGGCTAAAAAGTAGTACATTTCACTAAAATCACTGGGCTAAAAAATAAAAAATAAATAAAATGAACGGAAGTTTTTATTATCAAACGATAGACAGTTGCTACAAAAGTAATGCGAATTCTCAAATAGCTATGGAAGACCTGTGTTAAAAGTACGTAGGTCACAAAATAAACATTTTGAGATGATCAAGTGCAAATATTCTTTCCGTCTATAAAATGGGGTCATTTTTATAGTCTGTCTTGTTGACATGTAAGGGACTTGGGCACACTTTAATGTGTTCAAATTTCTGCAGGACACTTGGCTAGACCAGATTAGAAATGTCGCACTTTAGGTTGATTTTAACACAAGTATGACTTAAGTACTTTTAGCACTAGGCTCTTTAACCACATAAGACAAGTCTATTCGATCAACTCTAGGAGTAAATAAAGCAAATTCTCTAATATAAGACCTTTTTCTCACTTCCCCTCCCACTTGGTCAAAATTTAAACCCAGCTGCGAGGCCAGTATAAACCAACGGCCAGAGACGAAATCGAAATGATGCTCACTCGAGTGGGACTCAAGGAGAAAATGTCAACTTACTCAGTGAACTTGTCTGGCGGGCAGCGAAGAAAACTCTCGGTGGCTTGTTCCTTTATTGGAGGAAATAAGGTAAATTCTCAGTGGCCACCTAGGATACATTAATAGTTATGCATCTTGCACAATTGTAAAAAAAAAAAAAAGACACATGTCATATTTCGTTTTGATCAATGGTCATCAAAACTGTAGACAAGTTAATTTAGAAAACAAATTATCTGCGCTGATAGAAAGTAAAGTCATCATTTATAAATATTTTTTGCCCATAATTTTATACCTTAAATAAATGTGTTTAAAAAAAAATTAATTACAATGTTATTTTATATAGCCAGATAGCAATCAGAAATATTTAAATTTATATATATATATATATGTCTGTATTTAAATATATATATATATATATATATATATATATATATATATATATATCTATATATATATATATATATATATATATATATAATATATATAGAGATATAAATAAGAAATATATAAATATATATATATATATATATATGTGTATATAAATATATATATATATATATATATATATATATATATATATATATATCTGTATTTAAATATATATATATATATATTAATAGTACATTGCGAATCTTTTAAAAAATAGTATCCTATTTCTAGCTAAAATCCGTGCACAATCTCCAGCAACATCCAGGCTCGCGTAAATTGAGCGACTTTACGTTATTCGTGGACATATCGGAATATTTCGGTGGCCCGGATTCGTCCGCGGAACCATGGCTTAGAACAACAGCAATGTTCTGTGACGGTCGCGTTTGTTGTCTTATGAGCCCGTTCAGAGAATCTGTGGTTTGAGGGGCACATGAATAGAGTGATCCTTGGGATTAGCGGTTCAGAACTATTCAGTTTGGGTTTAGAGTTTCGCGTAAATTTGAGTTAGTTTTGACAGATTTAGAATTACTTGGACCTTCGTTAAATGTAATTTACAGCAGAGAAAACCTCATTATGTCTTTCATTTCGTTCGCAGTTTTAAAAAAAATGCAATATATAAATATTACTATATTAATGTGCATTATATGAATATATCAGCCAAAAATACATAGTCTAAATACTTTCCCCTTTTCAGCCAAAGACTTGATCCCTGTCGAAGATAATTTGGACTCAACTTTAATAATTTAAAATAAATGATTTAGGGCATGTTGTTACTATGTCAACAGACTCGGTTTCCATGAAAGATTTTTTTTTTTCATTAAATGTTAAGACTGTGTTCCTTGATGAGCCGTCATCTGGCCTTGACCCCAGCGCCCGGCGTGAACTGTGGGACTTCCTGAAAGGCATGCGCGAGGGGCGTACCATTCTCCTCACGACCCACTACATGGACGAGGCCGACGTCATGGGGGACAGAATCCTGATCATGGCCGAGGGTGTGGTCAAATGTGCAGGGACGCCGATGTTTCTCAAACAGATTTACGGTATACGACATAAGTGTGGTCTGTTTCGAATATTTTTTTATTCAGATTCTGACCACAATCCTGTGATTTAACTTAGAAACAGTGGCCTAGTTAAGGGGGAGCTGGGATGTGGACCGCAACGGGTGACACCAACAGTATAGCTGCGCCAATGCTTCGAAGTAGTCTATGCTAAAACATCCAAACTAATCAATCTCTCAGTTTTTAGCTGCACTCTCTTTACGTGTTCACAAGATATACTCATAAAAATCACGTTTTAAGAGAAAGCCATATTACATACTGCATTTAACCATTTTAAAGCCACTATTTGTAGGAGATAACTTCTTCTTCTTCATTTTCTAAAAGAATTGAACTTAAAATATCTTATAATAAGTTATATGTTCTGCTTAGTGAAGTTCCCAACCATCAAATATGGCCATGATGCATTGTAATATTTTTGAAGAAATCTCTAATTATTCATATTTATTAAGTCTTGGCTGATATAAAAATATTGACATGGAACTCGCGATAACAAATGTGTTCTTGTCTGCAAGGCACGGGCTACAAGATGAACATTGTCAAGGAGCAAAAATGCAACTCCTTGCAATTGTTGTTGGTGGTTCAAAAGCACATACCCGATGCAAGACCTAGGGTAAGTGTATGCTAGAGACGAACAAAAATAGGGTTAGCCTATGCCTAGAGACCAAACAAAATAGGGTTAGTCCATGCTAGAGACCAACCAAAATAGGGTTCGTGTATGCCAGAGACGAACCAAAATAGGGGTTAGTGTATTCTAGAGACGAACGAAAATAGGGTTAGCCTATGCTTAGAGACCTAACAAAATAGGGTTAGTCTATGCTAAATACCAACCAAAATTCGGTTTCGTTTCATTTTCGGCGGTGAAAGTACCATTTGATCCCAATCAGCTTAGTTTCCGTCTGAGGCAAAAAAACAAAGTTAACTTTCAGATCATTTTCGGTTTTGACGGAAAGTGATTGAGATTTTATGTCCTCTACAAGAAGTCACAATGTAACCATGTCTGCAATGTTCCTTACAGGGATATTTCTTGGGGAGGGGGCATTGCCCTCAAAAGCAATTCAAGTGTCCCACCGGGAGGGGATGGAAATGTGTAAAGCAATAAAACGAAAAAAATACTTTATAGAAAAAAACTTTTTAACTGTCATCTTTATAAAAATTAAAAAAAAAAATAGTCCACTGATGTCATTAATCTATTAAAATTACTGGAGCCTATAAAATATCGCTACGCTGTTGAGCCATTTTTGATACGAGCACCATTGTAGATATGTGCACCATTGCACCACGTGTAACGCTATGTAACCTAATTCTTTGTCGTATCACCGGCTTTAATATTCTTTTGAACGCAAAGAGTCTATGCAGCTGAGCCTTCGATGTTGCTTTTTTCTTCAAACCCAGAAATAACTTTTCTCAATGTGACTTAAAAGATATCGGAAATACGAGCTACATTTTAAAATTTTGCACACATTGTATTTTTCCTGAATAAGTCGCGGCCTTGCTAAAAATCCTTCTAAGGGTTCTCAAGCTTTACATCCTCATATTCTTTTATAAGTGTTCTATTTCCTATTAGTATCATTTAGCAAGACTCACTTAAAACATTTCCACAGCGTTCTCGATTCTACATCAAAGCGTTTTGTCAAAATACCACCTGAGAATAAGTGGTTTCACCCCAAACAGGTTTAATCGCGTTATCTACCACACCGATAGGCCCGGTGCCATCTCCATAGTGATAAGTGTCACGTGCTATTTGATTGACAGGGAGAGACCCCCAATGAGAACCTCTACCTTCTCCCCGTCGAGAATGTCAAGGCCTTTCCCGGCCTGTTTGCCGAGCTGGAGCAAGACATGGACAGCCTCCACGTATCAAGTTTTGGGGTCACGGCAACAACAATGGAAGATGTTTTTATAAGGTGAATTCACCATCCTCTGTAATGCTATTACAAACATTGGACCATTAACCGTGCTCTATAATGACATAACAAACGTTGGACCATTTACCATCCTCTGTAATGACATAACAAACGTTGGACCATTTACCATCCTCTGTAATGACATAACAAACGTTGGACCATTTACCATCCTCTGTAATGGCATAACAAACGTTGGACCATTCACCATCCTCTGTAATGGCATAACAAACGTTGGACCATTCACCATCCTCTGTAATGGCATAACAAACGTTGGACCATTCACCATCCTCTGTAATGGCATAACAAACGTTGGACCATTTACCATCCTCTGTAATGACATAACAAACGTTGGACCATATTGTTTAGTAAACTGAATGGACAGTATCTTTGGTACCCGAAATCTTTTCCCAGATACTGAAATAATTTTTTTTAAAAAAATCTTTAGAAACTAAAAACAAAGTCTAGACTATGGAACCGCCGAATAGCAATTGAAGCAAAACAAAAAACAACAACAAAAAAACCCAAAAAGGGAATTTGGAAAATTGACGCACTCCTTTAAAATCCTTTAGATTTACTTCGCTTTTTGTTGCTAATTCGCTCATTGACCGATATCCAGTCAAGCTATCAAGCTGAAATAGGCACATAGAATCG